TGCCCCGGCGCCTGTGGTCGCAGCCGCGCGCCCGTCGTCCCCCCTCTTCCTCAGGGTCTGCCAGGTGCGGGGCTCTGCTACCACCCCCCCAAAGAGGGTTCCTGGGGAGCCCGGCCTTCTCCCTCCGCTGAGGACGGGTTGCAGAAACGGCGCCGTAGGCCCCGGTTATGTAACGGGAGCGAGTCGGTGACGGGGCGGCTCGGGGGCCCTGGGAGCGCGGATGGGCTCCACTTCAGGGATCGCGGTCTCCGGACGGCCCTGGAATGGGCGCGGGTGGGGCCGCGGGAGGGTGTTTGGGGCCCCCGGGAACCGAGAAGGATCTGCCTTTTGCGTTCGGTTGGGTGCAGAAGAGCTTCTGCGTGCCGGGGTGCCGGGCCGTCGCCTCTTGTTACTTTCCCCTTCTTACTTGGGATTGGCTCAGTCACTCGCCAGTGGAAACCGAGCGCTCAGAAATAACCCCGAACGCAATAGAACAAGAGGACTAGCTCGACGAAACCCCCTTCACCTGGACGTTCACCTGGAGATAGATGACCGAGAAGCGCCAGAGACTTCGTGGCTGTGGAGTCGCCACAGGACAGTCCGTTGCAGATGACGACTCTCCCCTTCATCTCGTTGACAGTGCCAGGCATTTCCTTGAGATTGGAACTCAGGTCCCGTTGGTTCGTCCCTTTCTCCCACTCATTCTGTTAGTTCACTACGGTTATGCCTGGTTTTCCGTTGACAAGGTTCTTGTCGTGTCTTCGGTTTGATTGCGCAGAAGACTTGGACTGTGTGAAAGTACTTTTGGGACCGTTTGTTTAATGATGACAGTGTTTAAAGAGTGTTTTTCACGCATCTCTACAGTGTACTTGAACTTTTAAATTTAACCCACGTGTTCTCTTGGCTTTTCACTAAGCTTTGTACCACTTGGTGAGAGCAAGTGAAGCTTTTGTACCTTTGTACTCTTGCACATCGTTTATAAAAAATAACCGTATTCTAGATTCGTTTTTTGGACAACTGTCCTTACTAATAATCCGGATTAATTCCCAAGTTGGTATGAGAATGGCATTGTAAATATTTCCCAGGACAGTTGTTTACTTGGTTACCAAAGAGGAAAGAGCAGGTGTAAATGCTTAGGTTTTTTTCTTTTTTTGGTAAATACTTAGTTTCATCTGCCTTTTGCTCTGATGCTGAGAAACGACAAGGGAGCATATTGAGATTTACTATAGTTTAGTGAAACAGTAACATACGGAAAGAATTAGACGGAGTTTAGCATTTTTTTGCTCTAGTTTGAAGTTAAAGTCATTTAAGGAAAGACATGACGTTCTGGAAGAAACAAAGAGCCTGAGGTAGTGGCTCTAGACCAGAGGTTCTTGAGATTCTGTCGGGACATCTTCTAGGAGTCCAAAGGTAGCAGCCCTGATGTTCATAGTGAGGGCTACTCACTGAGTTGCTTGCTCAGCAGGTTGAACCTACCACCTGTTCCGAGAGAGAAAGATGAGGCCGTCTACTTTTGTAAAGATTAAAAGCCCCGAAGCTGAAGGAACCTCCCTACTCTGCCCTATAGGTGGGGTCAGTGTGAGTTGGAATCCACTGAGTCTGACTTGAAGTTTTTGGGAGGCCAAAAGTTTTCATAACAATAAAAGTAAACTTAAAACTCACTGCCCTTGAGTAGATTCCAACGTAAGGGAAGGTAGAACTGCCTCGGTGGGTTTCAGAGACTATCCATCTTCACAGGAATAGAAATCCTCACCTTTGTGTTGCTGAGATGCTTGTGGTTTTGAACTGCTGACCTTGTGGTTAGCAGCCCAAAGTGTAACCAACTATATCACCAGGGCTCTGCTTTTGAAAGCAATAGTAGGGCATTGTTTTCCGTTTTCACTCTCATTCATTCTTGAGTGTTCAGTAGAGTTTATAGAGGATATATATATATATAGCCAAACTAAACCCATACCCATCGAGTCAATTCCAGCGCATAGTGACCTTATAGGACTGCGTAGAACTGCCCTTTTGGGTTTCCAGGGATATAAATCTTTTACCTTAGCAGATAGCTTCATTTATCAAATGGAGCAGTTGGTGAGTTCAGGCTGCTGTATTGTGGTTAGCAGCTCAACCTGATGCTCACCATGGCACCAGGACTCATCTAGAGGTTATAGGACTTGTGATATGAAAGATATTGAAATGTAGAAGCAGATGTGAGAATCCACTTGCTTCCTGCTGGACAATAAAGAAATTTGGAAAAATGTAAAACATTGCCACCCTTCACTAATTTTCTGTTTTGAAAAACAATAAAAGTATGTTGTTAACATTGAATGGGTTTATTTTAAAAATTAATTAGCATATAGTAAATATATTCTCAGTTTCAGTTTTACTATTGTAAATTTCAGTATATATAATCAGCGACCAAGAGATTTATGGGCCTTTAAATAATTTTTGACTGTAAAAGAGTTCCGAGATCAAAAAGTTGGGGAACTGTTACTCTTTGGCCTGGGTGACCAGCACTGTAATTAATAATCAGACCTAGTACAAGCAAAGGGTTGGGTACTAAGGACTGAATGCGGTCTGAAGCTGAGTTCAGATCCTTTAGGGGCTTATAATCAAGAGTAAGAATCCAAAGTCATTACTGTGCAGTATTAGCAGCATGAAATTGAATGCTGTCTACACAAAACAACTCTCATTTAAGCCAAATTCTTTTAGAAAGTTGTGTTTTTTGAACACCTCTGAGGTTTTTTGAGTTTAAGATATTAGTATTGATGAATAATTTCAGAGTAGAATCGTGACTATTAACTTTACACAAGATTGCATTGCTGTGTTCTCTGATTAATGCAACATAATTATTTTTGGAATTTGAAACAGTGTTACAGTTATTTATTTTAGTAAGTACTTTTATTGGAGGGGGGGCTTTTAACAGCTCTTACCACAATCCCTGCATTCATCATTGCATCAAGCACATACGTACATTTGTTACCATCATTGTTTTCAAAGCATTTTCCCTCTCCTTGAGCCCTTGATATCTGCTCCTCCTTTTTTCCCCTCCCTCCCCCACAGTGTTACATTTTTAACAGCCCTAGAATTAGGGTGGATTTGTGGACTGTTATTAAATAATCCTCCAAGACGCCTTTACACCAGGTCTGTAAATCTTAGAGGACTTAAGGGCAGAGAACCCGCTGAAATTGTATGGAAGGTTTTTGTAGTATTTGTGAATGTGTACTCTGGGGATTAAGGACCCATGGTCTTCCACAAGGGCACACCATCCCTCAAAAGAGGTTAAGGACCACCTGGATGACAGAGTTGGATGAAGTATTCTTTAGCCTCCTCTCACTTGGCTGAAAAGCACCAGATGCTGATAACAACAGGAGGAAAGGGTCATTTGTGCTTCTCTTTTCCCTCAGCCCCTCTGCCCGTCCTTGTACTCAGGCTTATTGTGTTTTTTCCCCTATCCTCATCATCAAAACCAGTTTTGATCTTAGTTCTTCAGTGCAGAGCTTTCCACTGTAATAAATTAGATAACTGATTTGCTTCATATTCTAACAGTTTGTAATAACAGTTACCCCTCATACACATAAGTTGATTCAGTTCCTTTTTATGGTAGTCAAAGATTTGAAAACATTTGTGATTGTTTTCATTACCTGTTGCTGCTTTCCAACTCCTTCGAAATCCACTGTCAGTTGAATGGATTCCAACTCATAGTGATCATATAGGACAGAGTAGAACTGCTCAGAGGGATTCCAATGCTGTAAATCTTTACTGAAGTAGACAACCATGTCTTTCTCTCCCAGAACAACCAATAGGTTCCAACTGCTGACCCGATACTTTACCCCTGGGCCACCAAGGTTCTTTCTGCCTAACAAATGATAACCCTCAAATTGAGTGACTTTTAAAAATAGTTTTGTTTTTTACTCATAGGTCTGCACTTGTCCCAGCTCTCAGTATATGACCGCTCTTCTGTAGTTAGGGACTTCAGGTGGGAGAACTAAAGTGACTGGCTAGGAGAGCTGGGTGCAGAGGCGGGGCTGCTCCTGTGCACTCAAGGTCTCCTAGTGGCCTCACTGTCTCCTCCTTTCAGGGCACTCAGATTTATGGCAGTTATAGGAGGAGGAGAAGGAGGGAGGGTGGGAGCTATAGAATCTTGGTGCAAACTGCAAGACTTCTTAAGACCTACTCCTTGTAGAAATTCTGTTGGTCAATAAGTCACTAATGCCAGCCCAGAATAAAGGAAAGGATGTCATTTCTCCAAGGAGGAGTAACAAAGACTGCAATTATTTTTGTTCCACCACGTTAATTATGTTTCTTCTGTGGAGGTAGTGTAATTCCCTGTAGTGTTCTTTCTTTGTTTTCATACTGTTTTTCTAGCTACCTGTTATTTACTCATTATAGTAACTGTTAACTTGAGGTAGCAGGAGAATATGAGGAACTGGCTGTCTATTAAATTTTGTATTTAGATATACCCATGATTGTGAATTGAGTGTATTTAGTGATGCATACAGAAACATTCCATGTCCTGGAAAAGAAATGATATATTTTTTATTCCCTCCGTTAGACATATGAAGTACTGCTACTCATGGATTACAATAAAATGTTTCACTTACATGATATGCAAACCGTATTTTGAAAACTGAACATGATTGTCTTGGTTAGAGCACTCCTTAAGGTTAGTTGAGGAGTTAAAATTTCAAAACTGAAGCCCATTGTCAATATGCCATGATGCTTCCATAGCGCTACGGATGTCTCTCTGACAGCTCTTATACATAGTGTCACAACTATTTACACACGTAGCTGTCTCCGTCAGTCAGCTTTTTCAGAGTTACTCCTTGTAGTCTGTCGTGCCCAGCACAGTGACAGTCATACATACTAAAAAGTTTCTCAAACGAATATGCCACACTCATGCAGTCAGCAAATACTTAATTGACTGTCACTATATTTAAGGCACCATTATTTCTCTTCCTTTTGAGTCCCTGATGAGTAAAGGTTGGTTGCCATGGAATAGTTTTCTTTTTATGTGTTGCATGCCTTTAAAATTTTTGCTTCTAGCAATTGACTTGAAAGGGCAACTTAAAAAAACTTATATCCAAGATTGAATACTTCTTTTGGGACATAAAGCTTGTTAAACTTTCCCTTAAGACACCTATAACATTCCATTTGGGAATTTCCTGAAATTGTGATTATTTATTTATTTTTTTTTAGGCCGATAATTCTCTGATATTAGTCCACTAAAAAAAAAAAAAGGTGGGCAGGTTCACATTGAATTTATATATTAGTACTTCCATTTTATGATTTAAAATTAGGATCTTCATGTAACATGGCGTTCTATTTCATTTATTTAAACTTTTTTATTGTGACTTAGGTGAAGGTTTACAGAGCAGATCATGTTATACGTTTAACAACGTACTGTAAACACATCCATTGTCTTGCCCTGTTTCCATCATGCCCCGCCTCATTTCCCTGTGGGTGCACATTGCTTTCCTTTCACAAAAGACCGCCTGCTTGTCCTCTGACCTGGGTCTTTCTCTTCCTTGCCCTGTGTACCCCTGGTAACCATCAAAAGATGCTTCTTTGAGGGTGAAAACCTTTTCTTGATTGTTTTAAAATAACAGTAGTTGCATACAATATTTGAACTTTGATGATTGACTGACTTTGCGTACTGTCCTCCAGATTCGTGTCATGAGGTGTT